TCATAAATAATAGTTTTATTTACTTATCTGTAAGTTCTGTTAGATTTTCTGTCTTTCTTTTTTTTATTATTGAATAGTGTCTTTGTTTGAGCTGCTATAACCAAGTACCATAGACTGGGTGGCTTAAACAACAGAAATTTCTTTTTCACAGTTCTGGAGGCTGGGAAGCCCAAGATCAAGGTTACAGCAGATTCAGTATCTGGTGAAAACCTACTTTCTGGTTCATAGACAGTTTCTTGCTGTGTCCTTGCTGGGTGGAAGGGGAACTAGGTTTTCTTTCTACTGAATAATCTTCAAATAATAACAGTTCTGTTTCTTCTTTCCCAATTCTTATAAATTTTTTTTTGTTTTTCTTTTAATATTGTGCTAACAGGATCTGCAGTACCATGCTAAGTAGAAGCAGCAATATTGGACATCTTTTTCTATTTCTGATTTTAAGGAGAATGCTTATAATGTTTCATCATTACATATGAACTGCATCATAGTTTTTGGTTTATATTCTATTATAAGAAGTTCTATTCCTTGTTTATGCATTTGGTATTTCTTTTGTAGTGAAATGGAGTTGAATTTACTGAAAAAAATTTTTTTGGTAACCACTAAAATGATCATATAGTTTTTCTCTTTTTATCTGTTATACTAGAGAAATTTTCTAATGTTAACTGTGCTTGTAATTAGTGAGATAAACTCAATTTGGTTACAATGCATTCTCTCATGTGTGTTAAAGTTTTTTGGTTGATATTTTGGAGGATTTTTGCATCTATGTTTATATGTGAAATTGGCCTATAATTTTCATTTCCTATTATACTATACTTGTTTGGTTTTGGTAATAGTTTTACTAGCTTCATAAAATTAGGTGAGAAATGTTTCCTCTTTTTCAATTCCTTAGAATAATTTGAGTAATTCTTTGCATATATTGATAGAACTCACTATATAGCTCTCTGTGTCCCCCCGCTTCTGTCTCTCTCTCTCTCTCTCTCTCTCTTTCTACTAGAATATATATATATAAATTCTCATTTAATTTATTTAATGGCTATAGGAATATTCAGTTTTTGTCTTATAAAAATAACATCTTTATTGAGATATTAATCATATACCATAAAATCACCCTTCTAAATTGTACAATGTAGTGGGTCTTAGTTTAAATAATATTGTCTGATATTAAACCAGTTACTGTCTTTTAGTTATTATTTTTTACTATATCTCAGGTGCCTAGAATTGGACTAAAAATTGTCTTTAGCTCATGCAAACCCTGATTACTGGTACATGCATGTGCCACTTTTACTCATTTATTTAGTTTGTTATTATAAATAATGTAATAAGCATCTATGAAACCATTTGGCTCCCTGCCTCCCCTCACCTGAGGGTAACTATCATCCTGAGTCTATACTCTATATTGTTCATTCCTTGCTGTCCTTTTTATATAATTTTATTGCATATGTGTATATTCCTTAAAAATAACATTGAATTTTGATTGTTTTATGAAAAGGGGATCATGTTGTATATAATTTTAAGAGCTTATTTTTCCACTTAATATGTTTGTTAAGAGTCTTCCCTATTTTGCACATCACTGTATTTCTTTCATTTTGACTGTTGGGTAATATTCATCCACTCTCTTGACTGGGCATTTCAGTTGTTTCCTGGGGTTTGCTATTGTGAAAGTACTGTTGTCTATATTCTTACACCTACCTCCTTTTGTACATGTACCAGAGACTTGGTTACTGAGTCCTCAGATATGTGAAAGTTCAATATTAATAGATGATGCCAAAGCGCTTTCCCAGCTGATTTCACCAGTTTACATTCACATCAGATCCGTGGATTGACTTCCTCTCCAACATTTAGTATTGTCAGATTTTTTAATTTTGTAAATGAAACAGGTGTCAATAATATCTCTCTGTGGTCCTGATTTGTATTTCTCTGATCGCTAGTGAATGTTGAACATCTTTTCTTATGTTTATTGGCTATATGTATTTTTTCATTTGGGAAAACCTCTTTTGAGCTTATTTCTGTTGCATTTATTGTGTTTTTTCCATTGAATTTTAGAAAATATTTATGTATTCTTGATACTAATGTTCTCCAGTTGTATGTGTTACAAAATATCTATTCCTGGTTTTTAATTTGTGTTTTTGCATTTTTGAAAATATCTTTTGATTAGCAACAGTTTTTCATTTTAATATAGTCAAATTGGTTAATCATTCATAATTAATAATCATTAATAATCATTTATAGCTAATGCTTTTGTATTTTGGTTAAGAAAATTTCTTGCCCCAAAGACTAAAAGTTATTCACCTATATTTTCCATTTAGAGTTTAAAAAATTATTTTTAACACTTAATTCCTTATACCATCCATATACCTTAGAGTTACTTTTAATATTATAAGACAGATTCAATTTCAACTTTTTCCGTAGAGATAACCACTTTTTTCCAGCTCAGTCTGTTAACTTCTCACTAATCTGACATGTCACATCTGTCATATACCACACTTTCATTTGCGTATGAGGCTGTTTCTTGGGTCTCTTCTGTTCTGTCAGTCACTCATCTATCCTTGTACCAATAGCACACTGTCTTTAATTATTATAGCTGCATGATAGGTCCTAATATTTGGTGAGGTAAGTCTTCTCTCCCTGCTCTCTTTCTTAACAGTGCTTTGACTATTCTCGGCTCTTTACCTTTTCATGTAACTTTTAGAATCATCTTATTAAATTCTATGAAATTTCGGTGAGGTTTATAAAATTGGAATTACATTGAATTAATCTGGAGAGAATTTACTTATTTATAATATCAGTTGTTTCTAGCCATGAACATGATATATTTTTCCATGAATTTAGGTTCTTTTATAAACAGCTTTTAATATATCTTTTATGATATTCTCCATAGAATTTTTACATATGTTTTATTAGATTTATTCCTGGGTGTCTGATATTCTCTGAGATCATTGTAAGTAAAGTATTTTATATAATTTTGTTTTTTAGGCTTTTTGCTGCTAATATATTAAAAATGAAACTCACTTTCATATTTTAATCTTATATGCAGCCAACCTGCTAAACTCTATTAGTCTCATAATTTGTAGGGTTTTTTTTAATATGTTCTATGTAAATAATCGTATCATCTGCAATAATATGAAGGTTATGTTTGAACAAGGGTGTGAAACAGGTGAGGAAGTAAATTATGTGGATATCCAGTGGAGAACATAGCAGGCAGAGGGACAGCAAATACAGATGTTAAAGCAGGAACATGGCTGATGTGTTCAAGGAATGTCAAGGAAGCCAGAGTTCCTGGAGTGCTGAGCAAGCAGGAGAGTGGTAGGAGATGAGGTCAGAGGTATTGGACTAGATTATGTAGGGTCTTGTAGACAACTCTAAGGACTTAGGTTTTTACTCTGATTTGGTCATCCACTGGAAGGTTTTGAGCAAAGGGTGACATGATCTGATTCAGCTTTTTAAAGGACCATTCTGGCTCCTATGTTGAGAATAAACTACATTGGTCAAGGACTAAAGCAGGGAGACATGATAGGAGGCCATTGCAATAATCCAGATAACGTGATGGTGGTCTAGACCAGGGGAGTAGTGGGTAAAGGTGGTGAGAGGTGGCTGGGTTCTGGATATATTTTGAAGATAGAACTAACAGGAATTTTTGAAGGTTGCTTAGGAGAGACAAAGAAGTCAAGGATGATTCTAAGTTTTTTGGTTTGAGCAATTAGAAGAATGAAGTTGCCACTGATAATGCTGTTGAGCATCATTTCACATAGTGTCTTCTTTGTAAGGACTTTGAAGGAAATTTCAGTCTTATTATTGGAAAAAAGTGCATTTCTCTCAAGAACTTGCTTCATTTCTATCTTTGTTAGTATCTGTTGGGAACTGTGACTGCTTTAGCTGCTGGAAGATATAGAACCACATTTGTGTTGTGCCTTTGTAGCAAGAGTATAGATATCTAAAGTATATGTACTTTTTTATTGACCTCATTCACATTTGGCCTTGTTTTTATCTTTTCCTACCACTTCTGGTTTGTTTTCTTATATGTTATATATGCTTATATACCTCCTTAAAATCTTTTTAGAACAGAACAGTGTGTAAATAAATAAAAACAAATTGTTTGCATTGTATGATACCAAAAAGGAAATGTGGGTTGTAGCATGAATTTTTAAAGACTAATCTAAGAGTTAGAACATCGTCTTGAACTAAAATTAACATATGTGTGTGTGCATACGTATATATAAAAATACATACATATGTGTGTATAGATGTATATTATATATATATTTAATATATATACCTGAGTGCCTGCTGAGTTCCTACAACTCTGTATCATTCATTCAGCAATATTCAGTGCGTGTCCACTATGTGTCAGGTGCTATTCTAGGCACTTGATGAAATCAATTAATAAAACAAAGAATCCTATTGTCAGGGAGCATGCATTCTAGTGGGGGAGATACTGACAAAAATAGCACATGTAGTAGGTTAGTAAAGTATATTAGAAGATGGTATGTACTGCAGAAAAAAACATCAAGCATGATAAGGGAGACTGGAGGTGAAGGAAATATACAGGGAGGTTGGAGTGTGGTGGTCGCAGCATTAAATTGAGTGGTCTGGATGGGTCACATTGAGAAGATGACATTGACAGAGACTTAAAGAAGGTGAGGGTGTGAGTTATGTCCCCTTCTGAAGGAAGAGCCAT